CAGCCCTTGAGAACCAGATAGTTTAAATTAGAGGTTAAAGAATAAAATACTTTCTGAATACCCTCAAGAGTACCACAAGCATTGCCTGAAGTACGACTCTGAAGACTCGGACCCCAACTTTAGAGTAAACAGGCTCTCAGAGATTGGAAGTGTAAATCCGAAACAAGGGGCACTCCATGCTCCATGAAGCTGGAGGCTTTTTCTTGTTTTCTACTGTCTCCTGAGGCCAGATTAGGGCCTCTCAACAATACTGACTGGCTATTGACTAAGCAAGGTGTTGGAGGCATCGAGAATGATTTAGCCGTGCATGAATCTTTTCTATTTTATTCCCAGCACTAGCTTGTCCAGCTTTCCCTCGACAGTGTTTCCTCGCAGAGTGGCCCATTCCATCTGTGACGAGCTATATCGGGAAATCCTTCCTCACGTGGTGCGGAAATCCACCGCCTACGGTCCACCCTCAGACGCACACTCTGCCCTCTGGGACTCCACGGAAAACACAAAACAGTGCCCTCCCCTGCTACTTTTTATTTCAAAAATTTTAAGTCTACAGAAAAGTTGAAGCAACAGTACAATTAGTACCCCATACGCTTTTCATCTATTCACCAACTATTAATATTTTCAAATATTTTCTGAAAAAATATATCTTTTGCTGGTTTTTTCTCATGAAGCATTTGAGAGTATGTTGCAAACATAAGACTACATCACCCCTAAAACTTTGGCATCTATCTCCTAAGAATAAGGACATTTCCCCACAAAACAGCATTTGTATTGTACACCTAAAAAAAGGAAGATTAATAAAATATTATCAAAAGTAAAATTCATATTTAAATTTTCTTAATTATCACCCAAAGTGTTGTTTCTTTAATCTGGGATTTAAAAAATTCCAGATGAAAAACAATTCACATTCTCTTTTAACCTAGAATTTCTTGTAGCCTTTTTGTATTTTTCATGACATTATCTTTTTTGCAAAGTCTCCTACTACATAAGTGATAGCTACGGTGCACTGCTAACGCATCATTGGAGGGCGCAGACTATCAGGTTGTCTCACTAGTGATGATGTACACACTGACCTCTTGACTAAGAATGTGATCACCAGGTCTCTTCAATGAAAAGGTACATTTTTCCCTTCATAATTAAAAACTTAAAAACACATTTTAAGACAGTGTGAATATCTTTCCTCCAACAACTTTTTACTTTTTTTTTTTTTTGAGGAAGATTAGCCCTGAGCTAACTACTGCCAACCCTCCTCTTTTTGCTGAGGAAGACTGGCCCTGAGCCAACATCCGTGCCTATCTTCCTCCATTTTAGACGTGGGACGCCGCCCACCACAGCATGGCCTGCTAAGGGGTGCCATGTCTGCACCCGGGATCCAAACCGGCAAACCCCAGGCCACTGAGAAGTGGAACGTGTGAACTTAACTGCTGCGCCACTGGGCCGGCCCCCTCCAGCAACTTTTTACCCAAGTTTTAGGAGCCATTGATGATCCATTTCTGAATCAACTATATTACACCGAGAATCGCAAAATGGTGATATTCTGATTCTATGATTTATTCTACATGTATTAATTTTAAAAATCCAATGTATTAGAATCCACTATCATTTAAAATTTTTTTGATACTCAAATTGTCCCAGATTTGGCCAGTGGGGGCCTCTTGAAGCTGCCTCCTGGGCCTTTTTGATATGATCTCATTAGTTTAGCATTTCCTACCCTTCTGTCACCCCAGGAGTCCCAGCTGACCTGTACTTTCCTCCTGCCTAGACCTAGCATCAGCCATTCCTCCAAGGATGCCTGGCTTCTCTTAGTGGGGAATAGCATTTATGAGGAACAATTTTGCTAGTCTCTCCTACAGGGCAGCCCTCCAGGTGTCTGAAGCCAGTTATTTCTGTCCCATCCACCTCCCAAACTTCCACACCTCCGCTAAATCCACCCAATTCCTCACACAAGTGTTCCTGACTCAGTTTTGATTCCCACCCTCCTCTTCTCTTTCATATTCCCTGTTCCAAGTCAGCTGCTATCTTCTAGTCCAGTGGTTCCCAACCTGGCTACACATCAGAGTCACTAGGGGACTTCTTTAATAAACAGATTCCCAGGATCCACTCACTCCACTTATTGAATGAGACTCTCCGGGGAGGGGCATGGAACTCTTTTTTTTTTTTTTCTTTTAAGTGATATCAATATAGCCAGTCCATTGCATACTTCAATTTTTCAAGGTCTGGTGAACCCAGAATTGAATACAATAACAAAAGTATGGTCTAGAGCTATTACTTTTCTTATACTGGACATTATACTTCTTTCAATGTAATTAAATCAATGCTGACATTTTTTGGGAGATGGTGACAATGACATAAAAATTTTGACTCATGATGAATTTATGAAGAATTAACTCTTCAAGATTTTTTCAAACATATTGTTGTCACATCTCTTCTATCTCCTTATGTTCCATTGCTCTTTCAGATCTAAGTATAAGAGTTCACATTTGTTCCAATTAAAACTCATATTGCTTGATTCAGTCAAAACTTCAGTATGTCAAGGGTCTTATGCATCCTGATTTTATTATCCAAACTATTTTTTACCCTTCTTCTTCTTCTTCTTCTTCTTTTTTTTGGTGAGGAAGATTGGCCCTGAGCTAACATCTGTGTCAATCTTCCACTATTTTGTATTTGGGACACCACCACAGCATAGCTTGATGAGCAGTGTATTACCCTTCCAACTTTATGTCACTCACAATTAAGCATGCTGTCAAAGTCCTCTCTCTTATGCTGTCTTTTTTCTTCTATTTTTTTAAGTATTAAAAAAATCAATCTTACAAACTTTTCTATGATTGTGATGGTGGTTACCATAACTATATGTTTGTCAAAAGTCAGAGAATCAGATACCAAAAAGAGTATATTTTAATGTAGGTGAATTACACCTGAAAAAAAACCAGCCTTACACTCCAAATACTCAGCTATATTTTTCTCCCAACTTAGGTCTCACTAACTTATTTTGATTGACAGTTTCTGCAAAATGTATTGGTATTCTAACTAAAGGAGTTTTCATAGATTTTGTATTTTTATTTGTTTGAGGTCAACACATTCTAGGGTCTGATATCTTGAAAGAGCATCAGGTTTGCTTTACTGCCAGTCAAACTAATGAATGCATTATCATCATTTTATCACTTCCCACAAAACAAAGTGCAAAGAAAAAGTGATGGAATGTGGAACAAGGAGAAAGCAATATTAGAAAAATTACAATCCTTCACAGAACTGGGTTAAAAAAATTGAATATAGGCCTGTCATTCTTCTTCTTCTTCTTTTATTTTTGGTGAGGAAGATTGGCCTTGAGCTAACATTTGTTGCCAATCTTCCTCTTTTTGCTTGAGGAAGATTGCCACTGAGCTAACATCTGTGCCAATCTTCCTCTATTTTTTTGTATGTGGGAGGCCACCTCAGCATGACTTGATGAGCAGTGTCTAGGTCTGCGCCCAGGATCTGAACCTGCGAACCCTGGGCTGCTGAAGTAGAGCACACAGGCTTAACCACTATGCCACCAGGCCAGCCCCAAGGCCTGTCATTCTTGCTTAGGAGTGGAAATTAGACAATTTTCCACCTATTAGTTTGACAAGGTTTTTTGTTTTGTTTTGTTTTGTTTTGTTTTGGGGAGGAAGATTTTCCCCAAGCTAAGATCCATTGCCAATCTTCCTCTTTTTTTGCTGAGGAAGATTAGCTCTGAGCTAACATCCACGCCTATCTTCCTCTATTTTGTATGTGGGATGCCACCACAGCATGGCTGATGAGTGGAGTAGGTCCACTCCCAGGATCTGAACCCGTAAACCTGGGCTCCAAAAGTGGAGTGCACAGAACTTTAACAACTCGGCCATAGGACTGGCCCCCTTGAAAAGGATTTTTAAAAATACTCTTCAGTGCTGGTGATGGTCTTGTGAAACATACTCTCAGACAGTGTGGGTGAGAGGCTTAAGTAATATAACTTTCCTGGCTATTTGAAACTATCTGACAAGAACTTAAAGAATTCAGTTGGAATACATACACACTGATAAAAAATCTAGAAGGAATTACATCAAATTTTCAGCAGTAGCCAGCCATCTCTAGCTGATGGAAGACAGGCTGTTCTGTTTTGTTTTTTTAATGCTTTGTATTTTAAAAAATGTTTTTAAAATTTCCATGATGAGCCTATGTTAGTTTTTTTCTTTTCTTTTCTTTTCTTTTTTTCGCTGAGGAAGATTCACCCTGAGCTAACATCTGTTGCCAATCTTCCTTGTTTTGTATGTGAGCCGCCATCACATCATGGCCACTGATGAGTGGTGCGGGTCTGCACCTAGGAACCGAACCCAGGTCACCAAAGCAGAGTGCACCAAAGTTAACCACTAGACCACGGTGGCTGGCCCCCCATGTTAGTTTTTATAATTAGGAAAAATCAGGGGCCAGCCTGGTGGCATAATGGTTAAGTTCATGTGCTCTGCTTTGGTGGCCTGGGGTTCACCAGTTCAGATGCTGGGCATGGACCTACACACCGCTCATCAAGCTTTGCCGAGGCGGCATCCCACACAGAAGAACTAGAAGGACTTACACCTAGGATACACAACTATGTACTTGGGGATTCGGGGAGGAAAAAAAAGAGTAAGTTTAGCAACAGATGTTAGCTCAGGGCCAGTCTTCCTCACCAAAAAAAAATCAATACACATTTGTAAAAATACTGGTTAAACAAATGGGAAGAAAATAAACCACAAAAGGAAAGAAATAGGGATAAAATATTTTTTTTGTAAAGATTTACCTGTTATTGATAGGAATTCTTAAAATAAAATATGTCTTCCAGGTAGCCAATAATTTTACAAAGAATTTTTGTTCACTGAATGAAGAATATTTCCCTTGTGAAGCTTCTCTGAATACCAGAGAAGATTCAAATTTACAATAACTCTAAAAGGGATACTTGCATTGCCTCCAAACAATATTTCCCAAACAAGAAGCTTTATAGAGAATTATTGAATACTGTAAATTCATACCTTGAAGAACGATGCTCTGGTTTATTTCGTTCGTTGCGATCTGTAAAGAAAGAAGACAGTTACATGTCAAGATGCACTTTAGAAGCCCTGGAAAAAAAGTTCTTAAATACCAGCTGGCATACCATTAGATTTCACAAACGGATGTTCAAGGGCTGCTGTGTCCACCCATGTATAAAGCGTTCCATCAGAGTTGAGAGCATTTGTCTAACAGAGGAGGTAGAAAGGATACCAGGAAGGACCAACATATAGAGTTTTCATGGTTTGTTAAAATCATGTATTTGAAAAATATATCATTGCATGTATTATTCCATTTTCTAAGATCTTTGCCGTTTTAAGCACTCTGCTAAAACCAAAACAAATTTAGCTAAGGAAAGAAAGTAAGGAAACTGAAAAGCCACAAATTACTCAGCTCAAAAAAATCATTCCATGAATCATGGTTGGCAAAAGCTTCTAACAGGATGGGGAGGGGAAAAAAAATTAGCAGTCAGCTACAGCAACATCTGCAAAGACACTAAGACCAGTACAGCCTCATCCTTAACGCTCTATCACCCAGAACTTTCCAGAAGTTGGATTTCAATGTTTCACAGATAATTAGGTCTCATGTGCTATTGGTCAGTGGTTCTTAACCAGGGCGATTTCACCCCAGGGGACATTTGGCAACGTCTAAAGACATTTTTGGTTGTCACAACCAGGGAAGAAGGAGCTACTAGTGGGTAGAGACCAGGGATGTTGCTAAACATCCTACAATGCACCCTACAACAAAGAACTATCTCACCCAAAATGTCAACAGTGATGAGGTTGAGAGACCCTGCGATAGGGTAAGAGAGAACAGCATGGCTGCTTGAAGTTTTCAAAACCGCCTGTTTGGACTGCTATAAAATGCTGTTAGGCAACCTCAAGACTATTATACACAACAGAAAGAACCATAAAATCTACAAGCTGTCTTTTTTGACTCTAATGATTTTTTTTCAGTCCTGCTTAAAAATAAATACAGTAAAAAGGTCTCAGTGTTACGGAAAAACTAACCAAAAGCAATGTGTAGGCCACATTAAAATCCTATGCAATGACAAAAAAAAAACCCTCCCATGCAATGTTATCAAAATATAGTTTTTAAAGTATCTTCTAAATTAATACTAACAAGATAGAACTTAATGGCAAAACAAAGATTAGATAAGAATTCTTTTTTTCCCTTAATTTTATTGCTGGTGGAGCAGCATAAAGATAATGAAAACATACTCTAAAACTTCTAAGAGAGAATTATGGAAGAAAAGGAATACAATTTACATAGTTAAATGTATATATCAATTCTTTCTGAATGGGTTTATAAAAAAAAGAAATGTTTTTTAAACCAAAGTGTTAGTACACAGGAAGACACTGTTCTCGAAAGACTAACAAGTAGGAAGATTCACAATAAAAAAATGTTTGCTTTTAGATAAAAATGCTCTCCAAAAGGCACAATGTTAATATGTTTCTGGTTCCAACTTCTCCACACAGTGACTTAGCGTTATTGCCGTTTTAAAACTTTTGTTTTAATTTACCTTGGTTTTACCCCTCCTTTAAATAAAAATGTTACGGTTTTTTACTTGTTGGGTATTAAAAATTTGAAGTCTTAGCATACAGTGCACATTAATCATTTTTTCAATCATTTCTCTTCAGCTTTTAGTATGCTAGTTTTGCTAACACAAGTAAAGTATAACGTCTCAAAGTAAAACTAGAAACTGGATGCAGACCAGCTGTGATATAACAAAGCAACGACTCTTACCTGTGGCTAAAGATGAGCTAAAAGTCTGCCCGTATTGCTATCTGATGTGGCTGTGATCCTAGTTTCGCATGTAATAGCAAATTCTCGCGCAAAGCTTCCTAGTGGTATGACACACAGGAGGAGGGGAGAAACAGAGTCACAATGCATGTAAACAAGACTCAGCATCTGAGGGCTTCCCTCCAGGGCCTGTTCTCATTGGCAGATGTGCTATGACCAGTCTGCACAGCTGGAATGCAGCCACTCAGGAAGCGAATGGCTCATAGCTCTCCTTCATTCTTGGTTAAAACAGGAAATTCTACAGTCATTTTTATACTTTCTGCTCTAAGAAAATACAAATGCCTCCCCATAGTACTTCTCTATGAACTAATAATTAAAAACCAAGAAAATAACTTGATAATCTGTTGGAAGACATTTTATACCTTTCTTCCCGAACTCACTTTTAGCATTATATGTGTTATGTAAACATGCATACACAAGTGTTTATAATATGTTACTCCTAAGACCCATATATTTGATAATTTGAGGGTAAGGGTAAATTATCCATTACAATATTCCCCATCCTCCACCTCTTGACAATGGAAAACAAATTAAAACACATGTTCTTGGCTTCATCTTTTTTCTCAAAGTATACAAATAACTGGATTTCACATTTTGCCATAAGACATCTTTTAGCTTGAATACATATAAATATGCAGCGTGTATATGTTGTGTATTGTACGTCTACACATATTTTTATATACTTATTTTAAGCAAAGTGATTTTCATCACAGCCAAGAATATTGTGCAATTGTCAAGAAATACATTAGTGGTAATGCTGAATTTCTGGCAAAATAATAAGGTTATTATTTTGGTTCGAAAGCCAGGACTGAACAAAACAAAGCACTGAGGGCAGATTCAAGATCTGGATCGTGCCAACAACAATAAAACATTTGGATAAAATAACCTAAAGGAAAATGAGAACAGATCTATAGCAAACATGGAAATTTCATCTTTACTGTATATAGTGCTTTAACATATGGACTTTATTTATTTCAAATCAAATATTTTTTGGCACATGCCCCCCAATTTTTTTTCAGTTTCTAATTTTAAATAATTTGGAGAGAATATACTTGCAAAGCCTTTCTGAACTTTTATATACTTAGAAATCATACAAATAACTTACTAGCCCAAAGTCTCACCATTTCTACCCAAAAAAAAGAGTTATTAAAAATAAGAATGCCCTAACTCTACAATTTAGTTGGCAAATGCTGCACATTTGCTGTAGACAATGCACTAAACTTCAGGGGTCCAAGCAGAGCATGATGATTTAGGTCACTCAAAGATCAGCAGTACACTCTCAATGTGAAGGTCAGCACAGTTGGATGGCTATGTAAAAAGTCTGTTGGTTTTGGAGGTATATGTCACACACACACACACACACACACACACACACACACAGTGCGAGAGAGCGCTTGCCTTCCCTGCCTCTACTCACCCATGTCTCCTGGTTAATGAAGCTAATTGGGGAAATGGAAGAATACCTTGCAAGCAGACCAAAGGCAGAATGGTGCAAAGGGGGTTGATGGCTGCACGTGTGTAAATGTTGTGGGGAGATGGAAGGAGGCAATGGGGGAATTCATGGCACATCAAGGGGACTGAGAATCTGCAGAGTGGTAGGAAGTTACCATGGGTCAGTGACTCTGTATGAGAGCTCCAGATTACCCCAATTTTTTTGCCATGAAGATTCTGGTTCTAAGTAATTTGGACATACATGATTCTAATGTTTATGGTATACCACTTATGTAGAAATGGGCCCTGCTCTGGCAGGGACAGCTTTTAGGGAATAGCCAGACAGATCCTACTGATGTGTAACCATTCAGGGTGATTCTTTTTTTTTGAGGACGATTAGCCCTGAGCTAACTACTGCCAATCTTCCTCTTTTTGCTGAGGAAGACTGGCCCTCAGCTAACATCCATGCCCATCTTCCTCTACTTTATACCTGGGACCCCTACCACAGCATGGCTTGCCAAGCAGTGCCATGTCCGCACCCAGAATCTGAACCAGTGAACACCGGGCCACCGAGAAGCGGAACGTGCGCACTTAACCGCTGCACCACTAGGCTGGCCCCTGGGTGATTCTGAATCTAATAATACAACAAACACTTTGAAATGAAGATGACAAAAATGCAAATGTCATCTTTTGCTTTGATTAAAACTAAGAAGAATGGCCAACTCAAACCTTATTAAAATATATTTAAGACATTCAGGCTTTGAGGATTTGGCTTTGATCACTTAACTGGAAAGAAAATCAAACCCATTGTGTAGGGACTTACACTACTAACTCAAGTTGACAGTGAAAGGTCCTAAATCATTCTTTGAAATTAGTGGGAAGACTCAGTCTACATGAATGAATACAGTAGTACCCCCTTATCCACGGGCATACATTCCAAGATCCCCAGTGGATACCTGAAATTATGGATAGTATCAAATCCTATATATATCCTATGTTTTTTCTTGTACATACATACCTATGATACATACCTATGAATTAGCAACAATAACTAAGAATAACAATAACTAATAATAAAACAATTATAACAATATACTGTAATAAAAGTTACTATAGATTTTAGCAACCTAGCATATAATCTTTTTTCTCTCCTTATTAAGTTAAGAACTTTTACCTTTTCACTTAAAATAAGCACTTTATGGCTTCTCTTTGGCATATTCGAATTACCAGCATCACTACTCTTGTGCTTTGGGGCCATTATGACGTAAAATAAGGGCTACTTGAACACAAGCACTGCAATACCAGGACAGTCAATCTGATAACGAGAGGGCTACTAAGTGACTAAGGGGGCAGGTAGCGCATACAGTGTGGACATGCTGGACAAAAGGATGGTTCACCAGGGCCAGAGGGGGTGGGGCGGCACAAGATTTCATCACGCTACTCAGAGTGGTGCACAATTTAAAACTTACAAATTTGGGGTGGGCCCAGTGGCGCAGCGGTTAAGTGCATACATTCCACTTTGGCGGCCTGGGGTTCGCTGGTTCGGATCCTGGGTGCAGACATGGCACTGCTTGGCAAACCATGCTGTGGTAGGCGTCCCATATATAAAGTGGAGGAAGATGGGCATGGATGTTAGTTCAGGGCCAGCCTTCCTCAGCAAAAAGAGGAGGATTGGCAGATGTTAGCTCAGGGCTAATCTTTCTCAATAAAACAAACAAACAAAAACCTTACAAATTCTTTATTTCTGGACTTTTCCATTTAATATTTTCTCACTGTGGTTGACCACAGAT